TTGGGTCGTGACCAATTCAGGTCGTGACCAGAGTCGTGGAACGAATTAAGTTCGTGACCCGAGGTACCACTGTAGCTTCTTACACTAAATTATTACTGGAGCATGATCAGACATTGCAACTGAACCAATGTAAGAGTTTTTGGCTAGACTCGAGATGTTAAAAATAATCTACTCATGAACACAGGTCATATAAAGTCGATAAAGAGCAGAGCAGAAGAGTTGGGACTACAGTACTGTCATGCAGTCCACTTAACCTCAGATACCTGGCCTGGATGAGGTGGTGATTCCACTGGGGGGAGTGGGGGAGACTGAGGGGATGTTTACTGCTGTGGCTGCTAGTACCTCCCCTGCTGGAAAACCTGGGCGCAGAAAGTGCTTGCTGTTGTTGTTATTATTACATTGGATTTATCTCCGCCCCTTGTGGTGTTCCCTGCCTGTTTTTCCTTTCCCTCATTTATGTAGCTCTGGGGGGAAAGAGAGTGGTACGTCTGCATGTAGGCATATCCCGCTTGAAGTCTTTATAAGTCTAGTTTCCTTTTTCTTAAAAAAAATCAATAATTTTATTCACTTTTTAGTTTGCTTCATTTTTTGGTAAGTTTTTGCTGTTGTTCATATGGCTGGAGCGGCCTCTCATTTTGTGATTATTATACATCGTGCTCAGATTAAAGTTTTCTTTTCTAAATTATTTTGTTAAATAATATGAAGTTTCAATTATTTGAAATGTTACATTTGAATCATGATCCAGAATCGTTGTTTTTATTTTGTTTTTAATTGTTAGCCACCTATAGCTAACAATTGCATGACACCTAGAGTCATGTAACTGAGATGGGCAGCCATGCAAATTTAATAAATAGAGAAATAAAATCATGTCAGTTCTTTACATACATGCATACATACATACACAGGCTTTTGTAAATTAAGAATGTTAAAAGGGTTATAAAAAAAAGCTGCTAAAGGGTGTGGATTTTTTTGTTTTGTTTTGTTTTTTTTGCAAGAAACCCACATTCTCTCTGATGAAAAATATTTTTTGGCTAGAAATTGGGAACAGAGATTTATACATATAGAAAATCAAAAATCACTAGAGGAGTGGCAGCATTAGTCAAATTCATGGTAGAACAAGAAATTTTAGATACTGACAGGTATTACAATTTTGGCATTAATAATGGGGAAACTTGGAATGCCTTGGATGAATTTTTACTGTCTAATTAGAAATAAGCCTAATACTTCATATAATCATGTTGCAAATCTTTTTTTATTTACAAGCAGACTAAATATCTGTGGTACAGGATTTTACTTTAGTTCTGGATCCAATTTTGGATCAGAATAACATAAATAAATAAAAGTCCTCAGAGCTATGGTGAGTGATCTGTACACGACAATGCATTGTTATGCCACATAAATGTAGTAAACATAGTTTTAAAATGAGTTTGGAGAAAAAGTGTTGATGTACAGTGTATACCTGGAATTTGATTGAAAGAAACAAACAAGTTACCTTGTTCTGATTTTCCTGTGCAAAGCCAGGTGTGTCTGTATCTGGAGGATAGGCAACGGTTACACAGATATTATATGGCTTTACCTGTTGAGAAAAATACTTAGTTTACATTGTAGTAGTCTGATCTCCATGCTTACTAATCTTACGTAAAAATAGAAGGTGATATGCAAGAAAAGGCATATAATTGTGTTATAGCTGTCAAGATGTTGATATAATGCTCCAAAAATACTGCTCAGTATCCATTCTGTACAACTATTTCATATTTTTTTCTAACAGATACCTGTTGCTACCAAATGAATCAGTACTGCAAGTAGGATACCATATCACTGGGGTTGTAAGATGCATAATTCCCTGCAGAAACTGGGATGCTTATTACAAATTATAAAATAATATGGCACAACTCTGGATTTAGATTTGAATGTGCACTATAATTTCAACCTGTGTTCTGCTTGTTTTTTTTTTAAGGTGGCAAATTGTATTCTTTTATCATAAAAAGTGCTACTAATTTATAAGTATATATTTATTCATCTATACTCTAGAAAAAGCAAAAAAAAAATCTTACATTTTAACTTGGACATAATGTTGGCTGTATTATCTTGACTACATCTGTAGAACAGGGGAAATTTATTGTCATGCCACTAACAGTCACTAGTTTTGAAAAGTGCCAATATCCTATTGACAGACTGAGACATTGCCAATGAATGCACAGAGTGGAAGAGAGATAATTTAACAATATTGTGTTAAATGAATAGCTAATTGAATCATGTGCTACAGACAGAACACTCTACAAATCTCTAGTTCAGGGGCTGACAAACTATAGTCCATGGGCCAAATCCAGCTGGCTGCTTGTTTCTTATACAGCCTGTGAGCTAAGAACAGATGGGTGGATGGCAGGTTGCCAGGCCTAAGTTCCAAGGCCCAGGGCAGGGCATCCTGAGTGGTGGCAGCCTATCAGCAACATCTTTGCTGGTAGGCTGGCACCATCCAATGGTTGCTGCACTCTTTGGCCTCCAGTCCTGCCAGCTGTGCCCACAAAGGTGGGAGAGGATCTGCTCAAGTTCATTTCAGCCAACTGATAATCGTTAAAATATTTACATAAAATAGGTAATGTGGAAATTAATGGTTCTGACTGATTGTGGCAAATAAGCAAGGATTTCTAAATCCCAAGATACAGGTGCAAAGTGCTTATAAAACTTTCCATTCTAAATTAAGTGATTAGGATTTCCACTGCTTGGTAATTTATAAATATTTATCTAACAAACAGGAGTGTTCTAGCATATAAGGTGCTCTAAATAACTGTCTCCATTTCAGGATACTATTTTGGATCTGGCTTAGCCCTGACCTATTACTTTGTCTTTATCCCCAGTTGGTAGGCCTTAAACATTCTGGAAAAGAAAAAGGCAAATCCCATAAGAATGAACTTTGTGCCTGACATAACACTGTAAATAATCTTCCACTTTGTGTTCACTGCTTGTCTTAAATCATTCAAGTATGGAAAAGTTGAAACAAACCTTTATCACTAATTCTGTGTTTTGGTTTTAGCCACAAAATATTTCAAGAAATAATGCCCTTCAGTTAGCCTAACTGTACAAAAACATTTTTTGCATTAAAAAGTATAACAAATTACAACTATTTTCTTTAAGTACCACAGATGCTGGTGAAAGATAATCATACCTCCATATGTAAAGATTCAGCTAATCCTCTAAGAGCATATTTTGTTGCAGAATAAGCTGAGTAGCCAAATATGCCAATTTGCCCAGCCTGAGATGAGACAAACACAATCCTCCCCTTTCTTCTCTCCTTCATTTTAGCAACTACTGCACGAGTTGGGTAAACACTACCCAGGTAGTTGACAGCCATTAATTGCTGTAGATAAATATATATTAGCAAGGGTCAGTTGCTTTCATAATAAAGTCAGCATTAACATATAAAGATAGGTGTGGTGCTATCCTATAACTTCACATTTGAGACTCAGATTTAATCTTAATCCAAATTACAAAGCAGCCTTATCCCATGCAAAACCTGTAATAAAAAATCCCATGAGGACATTCAATGTAATGTTATAAGTGCTGACATCTTGCATAACACTCCATGGCATGCCTTGCATCCAGTTGTATAGCCATTTGTGCAATGTTCTTGGGTTTCCTCCATACTGCTGGTGGATGAAGAAGCTGGCCTTTCAAAAAAGCATCTGAAGCCACTATTAGTCAGTTTGGAGAACACTAACCTAGATGCGCCAATTGTTTAACACAGTGTAAGGCAGCTTCCCATGTTTATTGCAAGCAATGTAATATCATCCCCAACAGTAGCTATCCACTGCTAATTGGAGAAATGAGAAACTACTATAAAAGCATATCTACAAGGTCTCATCTTCTAAAAATGGCACTATTATATTTTCTCTTAACAGTTAATATCCCACACGTGCATGAAACATTTTCAACAATTAGAAAGGTTCAAGGTTGCAACACTTTACACGTAAAAGTATCCCACAATATTTATTAGATTATAATGTAGGTAGGAAAGATTAAACCCTGTTCAGCATGAGGCCACAGTAGTAATAATAGTACAAATGTATAAATATCCGGTATACTTTATACAAAATTTAACACTCAGAATCTCATTTTGTATATTTTACTATGTACAGATGCATTAATATAGGGTGTCTATAAAGTTCTTGACTAGTTTTAATTTTTAGTAACTTCACTTCTATATAAGATATAAATAATCAGTATAATACAACAAAAAAGGATTTATTCAAGACTTAGCTAGGATCTCTTACCTCAAATATACAGGTATCAATATCTTCAAATTTTCCATTTATTGATGTTCCAGCACAGTTAACAAGCATGTCAACAGGACCCAGCTTTTCTTGAGCCTGAAAAACATTTGTGTCACAAATTATATGCTACTGTTTGAACAGAACAGCTTTTTGATAACATGAAAATATGAGTTTTATAAAAGTCAGCAATTCCCTTACTTGTTTAAGCAACTTCTCCACATTTGCATAGTCTTTGGAAACATCAAGAGAAACAGAATGCACAACCTATATCAGAAAAAGAAAAGGATTATATAATCCCATTCAGTTGTTGACCACATCATAATTGTTGACTTCATAATTTGCAACCATTTTAAATTAACATTTTACATATGTTTTGAGTTCCTTCTACCTCACCAATGCCATATTATATAAGAAACTACAGAATTATTACTTCCTGCATAAAAAACTTGGAAAATATATTTTACCCTAGCTTACTACATCTGAAATATGTCTAAAATAATATTTAATTCCGACTTTCAAGCAAACTACTTGTGGATAGCAAATAAATGTTTGCCTGATGTTGTCACTGATGAGTCACAAACAGCTAACATCAACAGAGATTCATGCCTTCAGCACTTCTTAAACCAAGGTGGCATCATCAAGAGACCATCTTTCCTTCTTTGAAAAAGGTGCAAGGTTGGTAGCAAGCACAGATTTTGGCTAGTTATGATTAAGCTAATCTCTAAGCTTTATTTTATCAGGACAAAGATTTCATGGAGGCTGCAACTTCTGTATCAATGGCAACTAGCAGTACTGTATAGTCTCCTAAATAGCTAGTAGGAAAATGAGTAGAAGGGTATTATTATGCAGGGCCTAATTTGTAGGCCTCCTATTAACTTGTGGCTGACTACTGTGGGGACTTAGATTAGCTGGTTGACATGTCTGAGTTAGCTCATCTCTTGTGTCTTTATACTGTTAAATAAGGCATTTGATGTCAAAGTTGTAAACCATTCAATACATTCTAAAATCAAGAAGCTCATCAAGAGGATTGTATTAATAGACAGCTAGAAGTCCTTAAATGCATAATATACAGTTTTCCAAAGGATTCTAATTAGAGAAAATCTTTATTTTTAAAAGGATATCTGGGGAAAGAGAGACAACTGTAGCCTAACAGGATGCCCTCCCTCCAAATCAAAAATATTAAACTGTTATATCTCAAATAAAACCCTGCTTTGAATGTCCTGTTAATAAATGAACAGACAGCATTTTTAGATACATGACCAGAAGTCATCCCACATTTACTTATATACGGATGAAACTCAAAAATAAATGAGCAATACTATCCTGTAAATACTTTTGCAACTGGAAAGATCACCCATGATAATTCTGGTACAATGGTCTTTCTTTCTTATAGCATTTCCAACATTTGTTGTTATATGATTTATCTATCTTGGTAATCACTGATATAATTATATACCATCTTTAAACACTGTATACCAATTTTGAGTAAACACTGTATACTCAAATTATAGTTTGGAATAAATTTAAATCAATTTTATAGGTCTTCCCATTGTTCTACTGTGATTATTTATTTGAAGTTTTGCATCCACTTTATTATGCAGTGTTTAATTTGTTAACATCTCTGTGTCATATTTCAGTAACAGCTTATATATACAACCTAATAGATTATCTTGGTTTTGTGTGTTTCAACTTTGTCTAGTTAGTTGAGAGAACCAATTTTGTTTGATTCTCTCAATACCTGTCATTTTAGATTAGTTTTGTGAATTTGTTCGAATTTTTATTTTTTTTCTTCCAATTGTAATTTCCTTCTATTATTATTATTTTTTCTGATTTGTTGCAAACCTTAAGAGAATTCCTCTCATGTAAGCTTCACTTGTCTCCCATATGGTTATCTCTGACATCCCTGGAGTTGTATTTATTTTGAAAAAAAAATGTTAGTTCTTCTTTGCATTTCTAGGATACGTCTTCTTGGAGTAACAATAGAGTAAATGGACTAAATCCTCCACTTAAAAGTCAATTTGTTTCTTTGAAACCATGATATTAAAACTGGGTTGTGATCAGCACTGGTCATTGCGAGGATCTCTACTTCCTTAAGACATAGGGTGAGAAATTTAGAGACCCAAGACATGTCAATTCTTAAACATGTTTTGGGTCTGCTGGAAAAATATATTGTCTATTACTTCTGGGTTTTCAGTTTCCAGGCATCTGTCAAAGCCGGTATGTCCCTATATTGAAAAACCTTTTCTGGAAACTGTCCTTTTTTCCCACAGGATGACTTATCTAAATTTGGGTCTAGCACTCCTTTCCACAATTTTGATAAGCATTTAGAAAAATACTTCATAAAACTGTTCCTTGTCCTTATCTGAGGCATAAATGGATGCCTGTGTTAAATATTTGCCTTCTTAATTTCAGGATTAAAATTATTTTAATTCTTTTAAAAAGTACCCCTAGCCTCAGAGCAAGATGGAAAAAGCTCACCTGGCAAACCGCCAGAGCTCAGACTCTGTTGTATGCAAATCTTGAAGTCAAGGCAAGAACCGAAACACCAAGAAAAAACAGATGAAAGACAGCTATAACTATCCAGAAAATGGTCAGATCTGCAAAACTGTAAATCATGAATCATTGCAACAACTGTTGAAAAGGTTAGCTAACTCTGGAATACTTGTGCATAGTACAATGATGTTTATGCAGCAATGATCTGCATGGAAGTTTTCAGAAGGAAATATTTTCTCTGACCTCATCTTGAAAGTCACTGTCTAAAATATGCAAAAGAAAACTTTGATATATCTGAAATGTTTTGGAACACAGTGCTTTGAACTAATGAAACAAAAATCAAACTATTTGGCAAAACCACAAAGGTACATTTAATATCAACATATTCTAGAAGCTAATGTCCCATGGTCAATGAAGAAACCAGGCTAGAATCCAGGAAACTGCAAGTTCTAGTCCCGTCTTAGGCATGAAAGCCGGCTGGGTGACTTTGGGACAGTCACTGTCTCTCAGACCAACTCACCTCACAGGGTTGTTGTTGTGGGGAAAATAGGAGGAAGAAGGAATACTAAGTTTGTTCACTGCCTTGAGTTATTTATAAAAAATAATAAAGGTGGGATAAAAAAATGGATTCAACTAAATACCAACATGTCCTAAAAGCTAAAGTCCCATGGTCAATGAAGAAACTAATGCTGAAGAAAGCAGTTGGATATTTTGCAAGACAATGATCCAAATCTTACGTCCAAATTAATCATGATGTACTTACATGAAAGTTAAAGTTTTGGAAGATTATTATTATTAAATATTATTGTAAATCTGTGGGGAGATCTCAAACATGCAGTGCAAACAAGGAAACCTAAGAATACTTCTAAGTTAGAGAAGTTCTGGACGGAAATGTGGGGAAAAAATCCAAAATCAAGAATATGAAAATTCTTGGTGGCTATGTAAAATGTTGGGAAGTTGTTATTTCTTCCAAAGGAAGTATTACAAAGTACTGACTGAAAGAGTGTCCAAACTTCTGCATCTTTCTAATTTGCAGAAAGATGTTGTATTTAATTTTGAATCATATGGATATTGTATAAGATTCTGTTCACTTGGGGATTTACTAAACCTATAATTTGACCAGAGTTGTCTAAACCTTGTATGCAACTGTATATTTGTAAGTTGTCACGTTTTGGATACTGATGTATTGCAATGAAACAAGATCAATATTGTATTATGAAAATATACCTTAGTAATTATAGGGCAGTAGTCAATAATTAATGCAACAATAATAGCAAAAGTCTCCTTTGAATTCAGCTTGACTCCAGGTGAATTTATGAACACATACTTTAATTTTCCTGGCAAAGTGGTTTATTTATTTATTTTTCATATTTTAAGGCCTCCCAATTCCTCAACAAATCTGAATGGCATACAAAATTAAAACCAAAGGTGCAAAAACATCATCAGACAAAACAGAAAAGGGGGACTTCCGGGGAAGTAACAACAGACTCGCGGAGCCAACAGCTGCGGCTAAAAGAGGAGCTGGTGAATGAATTGACTCCTCTGAACCCCCCTCTGGGTCAAGGAGAGAACTAGGATCACCCACAAGTTCACTCCATACAGAGACTTGCCTGCAAAGAGACTGCAAAATAGTGATCTCTGGCAAGTTTGAGAGCTCTGGGAACCAGAAGGAAACCATCCTGCCTAAGCCGTGGCTTGGTGCCTTCAATCGGACACTTTCTCTCTTAACTACCTTAGGAAATTGCTTGTTATTGATCTTTTGGATGTTAAGAACCTTCTGAAGGGCAAGTTTCATTACACTGGGAGAGCTTTCTTCTATCCTGGATGAAAAAAGTTTCATGTAAGTTTAAAGATTAAAAAGAAAAAAAATATTTTTGAAAAACTGCAAAAGGAGGACTAGACTGTTGATTTTGGAAAGTTAAGGGGCCAGATGGATTTGAAAGAATATTTCCTGTGGGTTGTTTAAAATGTTATAAAAATACTATGAAGATTTTGAAATTAACTGTAAGAAATCCTCCCACGGGAAAGTTTTGTTGACTGAAAAATAAGCATATGATAAGAGAGGACTTTGAAGGTTGACTAGAGGGAACCAGAAAGAACTAAAGATTACAATTAAAGGAGAAGAGACCCATTAATACAATGGATCAATACTATAGAAGAAATCAATGATATTTGGGAATAATATACCCAGAAATTACTCTTAAGATTGTCTGCCACTATGAAAATGGATTTAACAGAGGCTACAGAAGAGGAATAGATTTTACTGGACAAACTAGAGACTGAGGCTGATCTGATCGTGCATCTGAAAGTGGATTTAAAAATGCCAGACTACAAGAGTGATATGGAAAAAGATACCACAATGGATTTACAAATGAAACTGGCTGATGTTTTAATAACTACAAGGGACATACAAATAATAAATCAGGAGAGTGACTTGGATAGCCTTCATATCTTGGATTTACAAAGGAGATGTGTTAAACTACTGAAGCTGTTCCTGAGAGGAAACAAAGAGAAAATGATAAGAAATCAATTTGTAGGATTACTCGATAGGGTAAAGACCATGCTTTTTAAAGTAAACAGAAGGATTATAAAGTGAATTATTTGATCAGGGTTAAAATATATATGTTATTATTTCTGGCAGCTCTTAATGGACTTTTGCTGAATAGGACTGAATGATGAGTTTTTATAATTCGTTTATTGAGAAAAGATGAGATATGGGAAGAAGGGATCCTTTTTTATTATTGAAATACAGTGGAACCTTGAGTTACGAATTGAATCCGTTCTGTGACTCTGGTTGCAACTCGAATTGGTTGCAACACGAGGCAAATTTTCCATAAGGTTCAATGTAATTACCGTTAATCCGTTCCGGCGTCCGCGGACAACGCATCAGGGACAGAAAAACAGCTGCGGACCACGCGGCAGGGCAGAAAAATGGCCGCGGGCCACGTGTCGGGGACGTAAAATGGCCGTGGACCACGCAGCAGGGAGGAAAAATGGCCGCGGACCATGTGGAACAGGCGGAAAATGGCCACGGACCACGTGGAACAGGTGGGAAAATGGCCGCGGACCACGTGGAACGGGCGGAAAAATGGCCGCGGACCACATGAAACGGGCAGGAAAATGGCCGCGGACCACGTGGCACGGGCGGGAAAATGGCCGCGGACCACATGGAACGGGCGGAAAATGGCCCCGGACCACATGAAATGGGTGGGAAAATGGCCGCGGACCATGTGGAACGGGTGGAAAACGGCCGCGGACCACGTGGAACAGGCAGAAAAATGGCCACGGACCATGTGGAACCTCCCCGCGGTGCACCTCCCCATGGTGCAATCTTGTAACCTCACAATTTTAGGCAGCACTGCAAGGATTACATGCCTGAGAAGTTGGGGGCGGGTCAACAGGCCAAAGACCTCTTTGCACAGGTAAAGATTCAGCAGCTGCCAGACCCTTATGTGACGGCCCAAATGGATGACCTCCAGGGGACCCAACAAGATACTGTTTCCCCATTTTCAGTGGAAGGGGGGAAACTTTGGCATAATAGTCGCCTTTACGTTCCCTTTCCTTTATGGGAGGAAGGGTTGCAGCTTTGCCATGACAATGAGACAGCTGGGCATGGGGAGTCTATAGGACTTTAAGTACTGTGGCTGAAATGGCCACAGACATAAAAGACTCTCTTGCCATGTTTGCCGCAGGGCTAAACCAGTTCATGGGAAGCCGCCTGGACTCTTGCAGCCATTAAGCACACCCCCTTAGCCTTGGGATACGATGTCTATGGACTTCATCACTGATCTACCCGTGGTGCGAGGATATATGTTGATACTAGTGGTAATAGATCTGTTCACCAAGATGGCACATTTTATACTATGCAAGAGGTTACTAACAGCACAGGCCACGGCACAGCTCTTGTTGTTGTTGTTGTTCAGTTGTTAAGTCGTGTCCGATTCTTCGTGATCCCATGAACCATATTGCGCCAGGCCTTCCTGTCCTTCACTGCCTCCCT